CACATCAAAATATGTTGAATTTCATGTTCGCGGAGTTCAAAAACTCCAAGTCCCCGGCGAGACATAATCTACAATAAATACAAATAAATAAGCCAGAGTAATACAGAAACAATACTGCAATATGTATATAGAAATAGACTCTCACGGGCTATAGGGACATCGGTGTCCCTTTTTATTTACAACCACTTAGCAAAATAAACAACATGAACATTTATATTGTAACCATAAATAACAATAATTAACTTACCAGACAATAAAAATTTCGTAAAATAAATCGTAGAAAACAATTTTTGCACTTCAAATCACTTTCGCAAAGTTTTAAGTTTCGGCGCCAAAAGATCTGTCAATTTCCAATTACCATAGATAAAGATAGACGGGTCTGATGCTGTGTTGCCAGCAATAAAAAATAATAAACATTCTTTAAAAAATAAATAAAAGAAAAAAAATAAGCCATACGTAAATTAGTTATTTAGTTATCTTATATTTTTGGCTTGGGACAAATGTGTCCCCGTGGTCGTCAAAGGGTTAAGTCATTCAATTCGTTCACTTGGGTGCTTCTCTATTTTACATTAGCATGACGTCATTAACGAATTTGATTCGAGCTCTCGAAAGACGATACGATAGGCTTCGTGCTGCGACATTCCGTTTTCGTCACATGATGTTTCGACGTCTCGATACTATTACGTTACGAATGCGATAGTTATTCGTGCTAGGCACACAGGATGCATTAATTGTACTCATTTCACAATCTGTTTAGCTATTTTATTGGATAAAGTTGGTCACGTGCGTCCAAACCGACATTCGATACCTTATTATAGAGATAAGGTTAGTTAATGGTACATTCGGAATGGATAAAAGAGCAAGAAATAAGATACAAGCATTAAATAAAATAAGTATCGCATGATGCTAACGTTAGGTTTTTGTATAACCAACCCTTCAGTTTACTATTGAAATTATTGAAGTAAATAGTAATTTCCAAACTACAACTAGTGTTTTGGTTTGGAAATTCCTATTTAGTGGTCAGACCAGGACGAAACCCAAGACCAGATCGATAATGACTATTTAATACGAGGCAATAAATTAAGCGTATATTTTAATTATCACATGAGTTATATGACACACGGCACGCTAATTGTGTTGCGGTTATATGATGCTGACAAACAAAATATTTTAAACAGATATTTTGTTGACAACGCAATGTGAAATCCGGGGCCATTGTATTAATAACACTGCAATACTTATTATCTGCAATTAGTATCATTTCTTGAGAATAAACTGGCTTTTATTGGTTGGTCGCGAATGTCTGTTAAGCGAGGGTTATTGAATTTAAAACTAGGGGTCGTGTAAGTATTGTTGGCGTCTTTGATTTCAAAATTCTTTACAATAAATAACACAACACGGTGTTCGCATTTGTGTCCGGTGTTCAAAAAACAGCGCCTTGAACAACAATAGCGCTCCCAACTACACACCTGCCTATCTTTGGGGAACAACAAAGATTAGGTTATATTTTTGCTTCTTATAATTAAAATAATAACTAAACTAATAATAATTACAGAGTATAGTCGACGTTAACTAGTTCTATTGGCTTTCTCGTTCGCAGATGATATTCGCAAAGATTAGCATAAATTAAGTCTGCACAATCGATTATTAATACCTGCCTTAAGAGACCCATGAGACGTAACAAAATTGCAATTAATACCTCTGATGAACCTATTTTCTTAATTATATTTAACAAACTAGCTTGAATAGTGAAGTGTAGTAATTTAATGTGCCAAGGCTAATTAGTTTTATGTTTATCTCGACATGGTTCGTTTTGGCGCTCTTTTTGTAGAAGAATAAAAAAATATTGAACGCTATCCCTTTTCATATAAGTCATAATACTGGCTTAACAAGTACACTAGACAAAGTAAACAAGTTGTCAATACTATTAAGGATAAGCGTAATGTTAATGAAAAAACAGATGCTTCCTCTGATGCGTCACAATCCAAGTGGCATTCCCATCCACTATAATCTTTTTACATCATTCTCTAGTGTAAATAAGATTCAAAGGTCTTGCTAAATAGTTAAATTAATCTCATTGGCTGACACCCGTGCAGCACTAAGTCGCGTCACTCCCACAATAGTCGGTATAGTGTTCCTAGCATTGAGTTACAACGTATTCACATATAACTAAGAAGGTTAACTCGAGCCACTACCAATTCAGCTTATTGGATTATCGCGGGCTCACCGTCGCTAGTATACGGTATAGCGCGCGAATGTAGGGAAAATGCACTTCTATAAAACAAATGCATTTGAATAAATGGGCTCAACTGTGTCTAATCTGATGAGTGAACTGGTCTTCCACATCGTCTAAAGTATTGTCCTTTTGCTTCCGAAACATATTGTTTGAGTACTAAATTTAGAATTGGTATGGTAATAGGCTCATTTGTTAATGGGGCCTAATCAAATTATCATACGGAAGCATAAAAAGAAAATATTGTAATAATGAACTGTAATAATAATTAGTATTAAGACACCAGATCATCTACAATCATGATAATAAACGACAATCAAAAGATAAAATCAGACGAGCACGTCATAAACATTAAAGTTGACAAGAGATTTCGAGAGAAGCGGTCAGTAACAGGCGCGTCACACTAATTATCCAGCTAATTGATTCTTGCAACCAGCCGAGTAAGATAAATGAGAACATAAGTAAGTTGATTGACTTTAATCGTTCACTTCTGAATTATTACCGGAGCGTTAACGAAATACTAAGCAAATAGCATAAGAAACTAACAATAATGATTTTGTAATTGATATCACTGGCTATGCACACGCATGCTACATCCGAGGAATGTAAATAAGATGTTGAAAGTTCATGCACCAAACCAAATTGAGGTATTTGAACTTGCTATAAAGCTCCAGCTCCTACCAGAAATCTAGAAGTGGTAAGAACAGTAAATCAAATACTAGAATCTGATAAAACTTTAGAATGAACAGAAGTAAGCGTCTTGACAGTGAACAACAACCTATCCCAACACAAATTTCTAAACTAAGTACTTTACAGCAAGCAAACAAAACAAACGCTCGAGCCAAACATGATCAACACGGCAAAAGAAACCTTACTCAAACAGTACTTAGCGGCAAGTAAATAAATACTTGCAACACAAACTTAGTACGTATGTTAATCAATTTGTCGGCAGCACGGCGCGTCTAGTTCGCGAGCTGTTTGCACAAGTCGCCATTGTTGACACTGAACACCGAACGTCCTATTATGACTGACTTATAACTAATATTCATGCTAATATGAAACATAAACGTTTGAACTACGTGACATAAGCAACAACAACGGAAAATAAAACATAATTTGAAGTAATACAACATGTAGTTGGAATATATTTAAACGACTTCGTATAAAGAATAGTAAGCACTAAGCAATGATAGAAATCTCTCCAGAACATTAGAAGCGTAGGTGTGAAAGCTAGAAACGTTAAACGCTATGAATGGATTAAGAGAAATTTTAATAAAGTTAAGGTTAGTTAAAGTGATACTTTATTTATAACTGACTGAAGTCCTGGTGGAAAGGTTACAAGCGTAGGAGGTGTTTATTTGGAATCGTAAACCAACGAATATAATTCTGCTCTTTTGATAAAGACCGCAGGAAATGCAGACTAGACTGTATGTCAAAAGTGTGTACTAAGGAGCAAAAAACGAAAAGGGCAAAATGATAATATTGAACTGTATACTCATTCAAAAGCGGAACCTTTAATAAAATTCAAATTAACGTCCGTCCTCATTTGGCAAAGGGCACATCGTTATACCTCTATATCAAAATATCAACTACAGACGATTTTACAAGCAAAAAGTTAGTTAACAACACATACCTCCGCATCAGTGAGCAGTAGCCTGCGCGTTAGAATTTTGCTTAATTGATTCCGTGGTACTTATCGCATGATAGAAGTAAATAAAGCCGGATCTAAAGTTAATGCGTTGGGAACATGCATCTGTTTCTTGCACCGGCTAGCCTTTGGATTAAATGACCAAGACACTTCTTTTTCACAATCCAACACGTGCCTTAATGGTATTGCCAATGAATATTCTATTGTCTTCTACTGGCCTTTCAATGCCTTCCAAAAATCTGTAAAGTATTACTGTCGGCATAATACTATAAAAGGACAAAGACAGTGCGGGGCTTAACGGTGATTTAAAATTGGGTAGCGTTCCAATATTCTTGTGAAAGGATCTTTAATAACAAAAGGAAACTACACAGGTAAAGTTGATAAAAAAATACCACACCGAGAACTGAGACAAGTTTTTGAAAAGGTTCCTATCCTAGCTAACTGACGCACCGCGCTAATAGAGTTATATAGTAGTACTCAACAATTCTGTTTCATACATTCCATGAAAGCTTCTTGACTAATAAATCTGCTACGTTTCTGGTAGTGGTAATGTTTTTTTCGTCTACAAGGCTAATGCAGAAATAAAGGCATCCTAATTAAATGTACATTTGTCGCGCCATAAAAGTGAATAAAAGCTTTGCGGTTTATTGTCTCGGTTTCTTGTTAATTATGAGCATGCATTGTTTTGGGTGCTTGTTTTAACGAATAATGACTACAAAATTTCCGGCCACTTTGATTAAATCTTTCAAAGTTATGGATGTGTTTTTTGTCGGCTTAAAGTACTCAGTATTCAGCAGACATTGGAATATTTGTAATATTTGCATGAACATGATATCATAAGGAACTCGTAACCGAATACATTCCGTAAAATACAACGGGCATATAAGCAGTCAGGGTTGGTTCCTAGCAAGTAATAAATAACGACAACACGACGAGTTCGCAGGAAATTAAAAAAATACAAAATGGTCGACTGTCGGTGACCCTCGAGTATGTGGTCGTTTGGACGTTAAACTTTTAAATGCGAGATTACTTTTTAAATGTCCATTTTTATTATAACGTAGTTAAACGTAGTTATTGGAGACACAAATGATTCTATTTTATTATTAGAAGATATCTTACCCAACACTTCCGTTCAGGGCGGTGACCAGGCCAGGCCTTTCATAACACATATGCATACCAGCAATGGCGGGCTCACTCTTATCAATACTGATTGTTTTAAATATATCACTGTTTCACACAACACAGCACAATATTATTTATTAACCAACACCACGAACGAACATATTTGAATAAAAGTTTCATCCACTAACGCACACCGACAGTTTAGCACTGCAAAACAAAATTATAAATTACACACTGAATGTAGATCAGCAAAGTCCATTGCAATTAATTGACTCGTGTCATGTAACACTCGATTGCCGTAAACGATTGATATTTACAACAAATTAACAAATGCTGGGAACTCATTCAACGGTCCACTGACGCTAATCCAAACTATTGGATACAAGTCAATCTTGGTTTGAGTCGAGAAGCTAACTGGACAAAATATGGAGCAAATATTCATTTGTTACTTACTTCAATTATGTTGACTACAGTAATGACTCAGTATAAAGGTAAAGAGCGAATGAAAAGGAAAACTACATGTTTAACGGCTACGTCATATGGTTAATTTGACGTAGTTTGAGGTTTACACATGATATGGCTATTACAGCTTACATAGGACCTTGTCAAAGCTTATCTGACCTTGCAGAAATTGCTAATTACAAACCTAATTAGATATCTTCATGAAGCCGCCGTACATGCGACGGAATTATAGAATACTGAAGAGTTAACTAATGCAGAGCCAGTTTTAAACTGTTTTTAGATAGACTTCTAGAACGTCAAAGTTTTTAAATTTATTGAAACAACAACTATCGTCCATCAAAAGTTGGACAGTTTTTCATTGAACCTTGTACGGTTGTCAATAAAAATCGGATGACGCGACTCATAACTTCGATAACTGTATGGATTAAGTACTTTGTAGACTTGGTAGGTCCGGATAATCTTAATTTAAAGGAACTGTCATTACAGGAGCCGGGTTCCGGTCAGATGATTAATTGGGAGGCAGTGTGCCGGATACTTTTTGCCTTATTTAGCGGACATCGGGTAAATAGAATGTGTCGGGTATTTTTTCGCTGAGGGTCATGAGGAGCCATTACGCGGGTGTTTTCTCATGTGATTGATCTGCGACCCGCCGCACTAGGGGAACACTGAACCTACCACCCCTACTCGAGGAAACGGCGTGTTTATGGATAACGGTATCCACACCAATAAACCGTATCTTTATGCGCTCATGTCTGCCTTTTGGACATGTGTCAAAAAGTAGTTTATTCTAATGGACCTTTTCATAGAAATGGATTTGAAATTCTATGCTGTAACGTCATTATTATGTGAATGCCACTCAATCTACATTCGTTTAATAGATATTCGTCTAAGCACCCTTCTTGGTGAGGTCAGGCGTGGGAAATGTTAGTTCGTCACGTTACGTTATAATGTAGACACGTTACTACTAAGTTGAATTTGAATGACAATAGAACAGATGGTCAGACACCGACAATAACAGGTAATGTCGGCACAACGGAACATGCGGGTGCATAACTATAATATAACACGGCTTTGTATATCTGTCAAGGTCGAACGAGCAAATATTTTTAAAAGTAGTTAATTTTCTATACGAGCCAAATAGTGAGTGTCCTACATCAGAGAAACATTAACCTAGTTTAAATTCGAGGTCATAGTGTGGTCACTTCGTCACTGGATCTGTTGAGAGCGAAACAATTTACAGAACAGACAATGAAGTTGTGACAAAGTATTCGTTCATCAAAAAGTCTCCAAAATTGTGATGGTAATCTTTAAATATTGGAGCATTGTCCGTAGTCCGTAGTGCGGTTAAATAAGCGCTCTGGAAGGGATAAATAATGTTGTGAAGCGGACATTTTGTTAGATAGTTATTCAGCTTTTACAAGACTATTCAAGATAACCCTTGAGACGTTAGAACCCCTTTTCGTACCCCCGTGGGAAGTACAATTTATCTGAAGATAAGTGTCTCTCACTGACCACCGGCCTCATTTAGATTACACCCCATTAATATTCAGTCATTGCACTGTTAAGGATCTTAAATTCTATTTAACGCATTAATATAATTCTTGATCGTTATTTCTATAAATGAAATAATCTAGTGTGAAGTAAAAAATCAGGAAGCCATGTTGTTTTAAGTTTGACTTTTATGAATTATTCAAGATGAATTTAATTAAACGCTTTGAAATTAATATAAAAAAGATGGTATGAAGTACTAGTGATACGATAAATCTAAATATTTAATGTTTTAAAATGAAGAGTCCGTTTCCATGTTTGTTGATTTGTTGCGAATTTTATATACTTCCTAACCAGGTAAAAATAACTTTTTATTACCCAATAGGAGGAAAAAGTGTTATTTACTCTAAAGTACTTTAAACTGAGTATCATCAGTATAATATTATTGTTGTAGCTTAGGAAAAATAACAAATTATGTTAGAATACAAAGCCACGATGAAATTAAACAAATAGTAGTAAGACTAATAACTTTTAGTGACTTGTCTGCGCTGTCATGGCCGAACGTAGTATTAAAATGTATAATAATGACGCTAACAACAGTATGGGGACCTAATTATACCTACACGAATTATCAAATGAGATAGGATGCTAATTGTATTTCATAACTTCATGTTTAAACATGTTTACGATGAATTTATGAATATTTTTCAAGCTAACTCCTTCTAAACGTTATGTTTTCATAGTTATAAATAAAATGCGGGTTGGTATTTACTATGATCAAGTACGCATTATTAGCAAAGTAATAAAACCATACATACGTAAGTAAACGCAATGCAAAGGTCTCACTTAACGACTGAATTTAAATCAAAATACAGGTTTAACCTTGTCATTGACTTCAAGATCATGATTGTAATAAAAATAAGAATGCAATTAAAATTTTAACATTTAACTCGAACTCGACTCGAACAAAGCTCACCCTACGTACAACAATAACAACGGTTTCAAATTCACAATTGGTTACAATTTTGAAAAGGTATCGTAAATCATAAATTCCCAGTTCCAGCAATCAAGTGCGTCATGCATGAGTCAACACCATGGACATAACATCCGCCGGAGCGGCTCGATTCTTACAAAAAGCTGATGTGGTCGCGTCTTAAAGTCAATCCTCCGATCCAACACTGCAATCCAAGAGATCACTGGTGGTCCTCGCCACAGATTTCACTGTGACGCCGCACAAACACACTAAGAGGCGGAGCGCACTGACAACACGCACGCATTCCGTGTCCGAATGCAAAGCGCATCACGATCACCGCTCACGTCCGTGCGAAAACCCGCCAAAAGCGAGTTCCCCGAGTACCTTATATGATGTATTTGATGTAAAAGCATTCGCCGCACGAAGCGCACACGACCACACGGTAAGCGAGGACGCGCGCGACTGCCGCTCGACGCGGGGCGGGACCGACCGACGACGCTCGCAGGTTATCGTGAGTCGACTACACAGATAATGATGTCAAAAGTGGATCGGACTAATGCTCTCTTATTATATTTGTAAATGTTCTGATCCAAAGTCAGATCCGATGCCGAATATACACATATCACGATCTCCATTCATCATTACAACTTGATTGATATTTTTTAATAATTTATCCAGTGCCATTGCTGTTACTATTGTTATGGTAATGATCAGATCACTGATCAATTATGTTTACTTCCGTTTAATTACTGTCAAGAACATATACCGCTTTAATTAACTGGGTAAGAGACGGATTATTGTTCGAAATAGTTTTGGATCGTTATCTTGTTTTATTGGCTTTTGGTCCTTCGAGTTAAGATTGAGTTCTGTGGTATTTCGTGTCAAACCTATTATGTTATTTAAGGGTTTAAAAACGAATAAGGTAAAATGTGAGCAAAATTTCAAAAATGACAGCACGCAAATCTTGCCACGCCTCTGAACAACACCAACAAAGAAGTATTAGCGGAGAATATCACTCATCGAAGTGAGCGCACGCTCGGCGCAAAACACCGGCCGTAATTTTTATTGTCCCACGCTGCCCGTCTCGTTAGAGTAATGTGATTCTTGTCTCAAACCAACAAGACAAAAAATCGCTTAACACTAACGCACGCCCGCAAAGTATTAGTCAAATCGAATAATGTTGATATTTTGAGGATCCAACGAATGTGTACCGTATCGCGATTGTTTTGGAGTCTTTAACGGAATGCTCACATTGATGTGGACGACACAGTTTGTGTTACTGAATTTTATCGGTTTACACCAACTTTTAAATCTAGCCGTGTTGTTTGCGGTAATAATAAAGGTGGGTTGCTTATCAGGTAAAGTGACTGCCTCTTTTCAACCGCTTTTTTATTGCATATTTTGTGTTGTATTCAGGGTAAAAGGGAGCTGAGCGCTTCATTAGGCGAGGATTTTGTGGACGAAAGAAACAGAAATGAATTTAGAGCTCATACGGTCGGTGTACGGTGTACCGCACGACAAACAGGATCGTGGAGACAATGAAATTAATCAACACCTCAACTATTACACAAGCAATTTCGTTCGAATCCACATCAAAGCTTCTAATTAACGCGGAATTCGCTACATACTTACAGTATTTATATTATAATGCGGTACGGCAAGTTAGTACAAAAATAAACACTGACACCAATTAGCACATACTGGTACGGTCTCCAGCGAAACTATTCCATCGCGACCAATTATTAGTCACGTTGAAATTGCAGGGAGCGAGCTATGTGCTAACTGAAAATAGTACTATATTGACCATTAAGTGAATTGCACACGGATAACTAATTCGGTGTGACCCAATTTGGTGTGACAAGCGGAGCGCGCCTGCGACGGCCGCACGGCGCACGTAGCGGAACTAGGCGGATCATCCCGGGGGAAGAAGGGGGGGAGGAACTTTAGGGCCGCATAGGGAACGTACTCGTGGATGGTCTACCACTTTCTTCCTTCTTAAGTTTCAATAACAAGCATTTGCTCCACAAGCTTCAGTTTGATTCGAAGCAGTTAATTCTGCGGTTATTAAGCATTAAGGCTTAAGTCACTTTGTAGAGGAACGTTTGCATAACAAAGCATCCGGCTTAGCGCTCAGGTTATGGTTTGGTGTAATCTAACAGAACATTGCCTTTCATCTATCACTTGTAAGTGTATCTCACTTGTTTGCGTGTGTGACAGTTGTGAAGACTTCTGTGATTGGGTTTACTTAATTAAAGAATATCATCAATTTCATAAGCTGAATTGTTAATACAAATAAACAGAGAGGTGTTTGTTTAGTCAACATTTATTAAAATGAAAACATTCACAAGCCATATAGATTTAACACAACGTTTTTCTTGTACTAAGGAAGATCGAAACAACAATTTTAATTAATTGGACAAAAGGACCAAAGGCGGCGGGATACAGTTAGAAATCACGACCTTTATTCGAAACTAAATGAGAATAAAACCTCAACCCTCCAACTCGTACAACGTTATAGTCTGTTCACAAAGGAGCTTTTGACAGGTCAAATTCGTGATTGTTCCAAACTGTGGTATGAAAGCAAGAGGTGGGTTTCGCCCGACATCCTGGTTAAATATGCACGCAAACGACCCACCGCTTCGGAAATTGGCACTCTAGTAAAGAACGATACTGAATGTAGTTCTCCTTAATGTAATTACATCGAGTACCAACACGTGGAGCTGCCTATTTACACTGAATACATAAACAAAAGCTCGTTGGAAATCAAATGGCGTTTAAGAGTAGTGCCGTACGAGAACCGCGCAGTGCATGTGATGTTTGGTCTTACAAACCTTTTCAATTTCATTACTTATCTTAGCAAAAACTGTCAAGTAAACGAAGAACTTTTATTAAACACCATTAAAGAGCTACATACTAGAATTAACAACACCTACGTATCCGAGATCATTATTAGATCCGAATCCGCAATTAAGACCTCTTAGCTCCGCAGTTGTAATACCGTTTACCTAACTTAATGACAAAGGGAACATCCCAAACATTCACAGAAACGCCCGAGGCAGTTAAATTCCTCGGAGCATAAATCCTGACTGCTCGTGTATTGAGAATTTGCATTAAAATTGCAGATTGAGTGGCAGGCTGTATTCGAAATCGTGGGTATTGGATGCAAAACCACAATGTACAGCACCAGCGCCTATCTTTACTCTAACAAGCACATTGATTGTGGAAATCTTTAAAACTACGTTATAATTCCATGAGTTTACAGGAACAAAACAAGTTTAACTACTGTTCGAAGGCTGAAGGAAATTCACCTTTCTCGATAGTGTGCAATATAATGAGAATAAAATCTCTGTTGCCTCGTGTCTATAAAACTGTGTGCTGAGGGACAAAAAGAAAACCTCTTTTCCGTAACACTGGTGTTCAGGTTACATTTAAAATGTATTTCTTTCATTGACTGCCTCGTTGGATGCATCTACAGAGATTAGAGAGCTTTTGATTATGACATCTTTGCTATTACCGTGGTAACTACAATTATAGACTTTTTTGGAGCATACATCCTCGTCACTACACAGGTATAGTCATCTGCCTACAGCACCCATCCAAAATAAAACAATGTATCGGTAAATGTAGTTTGACAGTAAAGAAATTTCGGGAACCAATATCAAACTCAAAAGTTGTTAACACAATGTCAATGGGGGCTTCTAAAACAACCTTGAGATCAAAAGAATCTCAAGTGGCCTTTCCGTGAGGTGTTTTAGACTTTATGTCACACACAATACTGATGTTTTTCAAGTACTTGCTTTATAAAGTATTCTTTTAGCGTGACGTATACAACCATTATTGTTTTAAACACTTTTATTCGAGAAGGCCGCTTTTTTGCGAAACGAAGCCCTTAGTCGAAAAATTACTATTTCGAAATAAAATCAAAAGAGATTGAAATCAAATTATTTGCCATTCTGGAATCGCGCAGTAAGCGCATAATCAATTGTTGTTGTAAATTTCGCAATATCATTAGCGGTTGGCGAGCCCCAAACATTCGTCGGTTGTTATCGCCAAACTCGTTATCTTGGTGGCGCTGGCGACGTTTAAACGTAACGTTTCCGAATGTATTAACGCGAATTTCAAGGCGATGTCTCGCTCTGTTTATAAATTTTATTTATTTCAGACATAGTACGTTTAATGGCAGTCGAGTTTATTTATACGCGAATTTATATGTTCGGCAAAAATAGTTTATGATGGTCAGGTTTTATTTGTTATTAATAGGGTCAGTTTCAACTACCGTTATTGGATGATTAAGTATGAAAGATTTCTGATCGTCCAACTGACTTAATCTCTGAAGCATTCCATTTATTAGAATGTAAATCAAATTGTTTTTAAACATCAACAGGTCATGGGAATTACTAATACACATTTCTATAAAAATAGACAAGAACAATCTATATCTATCTATTATAACAGAAATCTATTAATATAATATAACTCATCCACAAATCGACACGCTATAAATCTTTGTAGCATATAGTGATAATGGTTATCTATTTTATCGCGGTGATATTGGCAATCTTCTAGATAAACCGTATTGTTCCCGATAACACTTACCTACATGTATATCACTAATTAAATTAATATCTATGTATGTGTTTATTGGTCACGTACAAGTTCAATGTAAAATGTACCCACAAATGTTTTCCCTATCTATTAAACTATTTACCCTGGTAAACATAGTACTTCAAAACAAATTAAGTTGGGCGGTCAACCGGTCCAATACCCTTAATATATGAAATTGGTGGAAATGGTCCTGGTAAACCAGTCTATCAAATAATCCAGCACGTTTATTTAGAATTCAGTTCCGCTGTCGTCAGCTTTTTGATGACGTATGTTCATACTGTTATTACATTATGATGGAATACATGTTCCATCGTAAACCAAAATGCAGATGTTATCAATTTCATAATGTACTCGAGTTCACGACGATACGAACAAAGCGTGTACCACAAACTTGCATTTATCGAGAGCGCAGATAGATGCTTTTTCACCCCCATCTAGCCAGACGGAAAAATACTTCGTTGCTGATTGTTTCCCTGTCCGGAAAGCAAAATGCAAAGTATGAAATAATTATGGCGGTGAGAGTGCGCGACATGTCGGTACCCCTCCCTCGCCCTACGGCCTCACTCCCAACCCATCAGCCGATCGTTCTCGTCTCCAATCTCCGACCCCCTAGACTAGAAGGTGGCGAGGCGTCGACAAAACGTCGCCACAAATGCGGTAAAAAGGGACTTGTTGCTTTATCAGTGTCAGGTTTTCGCGTGAAAATTTGTTGAATAAGTAATGTAGCGTTACACGACCTATATTCTACAATGTAGAACACTTGTGACACTCGCTACAGAATATTCGTTCCATCATACTGTGGAAATGGTTCACACGTAAGCTTTAGGATTTAAAAGTTGACTTAATTTCTAGCTTTGTAACCCGATTGTGAACGACATC